TATATATATATATATATATATATAAAGTATTTCAAAAAGTATATTAGCATATCATATACATAAGATTTGAACATGTGATCAAAAGGAAGTTTTGAACTCTCTTTGCCCACTACACTAGAGTCTTCTCTTATGTTATGGAGATTTAACAATATATATACAATTATTATGCCCCTGCTACGGAGCACCGTTTCTCCATCACCATTACCATTTCTTATATATTTGATAAATATATTTATCTGCATTCCCTTTCTAGCATTAAAAAGAAAAGAAAGGAAGCTGAATTAAAATATGTGAAAAAATAAATGGCAGTCTATTGTGGATGGCATATCATATTTGATATAGCGTAATGCGAAGAATAGAAACAAGAAATTATGGCAGAAGATCTTATAGTAAAAAGAAATTTTGAAAAGACACGGTTGAATATGGAACCCAAACTTCAACAATCTTTCTCTAGTTTGCATGTGAACATTGTCTCCTGCATTATTAAGATTAAGGTTGTGGTCCCCTTTTTTAATCTGAAATTTTACTTGCCAAATGAATTATATGCACCATTGTGTGTGTCTGTCTCACATTTATCAAATTTTACGTACGTATGTAGAGAGCTAGATATGTGTGAGTTTTTAATTAGTTTGTAAATCTAGAAGATTAATGACCTAAACCCCAGTTGTGTATAACAATGAGAACATCGATCCCTACTACTTGCTATTTAACAAAGTATATACGTAAGGTAGCAACTTGTATTGCATACTTATTTTAGACAATCTTTATCCATAAGCCAGTATATATGTTGGCACTTTGTCCATATAGAGTTTAATTAGATAGTTTCAAGTGAAGAGTGCCAACATCAGCACACTTGTTATATAGTAATACTACTAATTATTAAGTGTCATTATTCCACCTATGTTCTAAATATTTAAACCACTTCTCAGCAATAGATTGGCCATTAATCATTTAATCATCTCATATCTGTAAGTCCACCCAACTAATTCGGATATGCGCCGGATAAAGAGCAGTCCACCGTACAAAGTATATTTCGTATTCACACAGGATTCGCGGAAGGGCGACATCCCAAAAGGTATGATGCAGACAGTCTACCTAATAATGCAAGCTAGTAACTGCTTCTACGGCTCGAATGCGTGCGAGATAAGCTAAGATAATCAAAACAATATAGACGGTCATGGTCTTCACTTAATTTGTTTTTTCTTTGGAACTAGGACTAAATAAATGAATAGCATATAATCCCCTCTAAAATCATGTTTTTGCCTCCAATTATTTCCATTCCTAATGGTTTTTGCCTTGGGGATACATAATTCCTCGCTGTACATAGTTTATTTCAATGGAAGTAAAGAATTTCATAATTAGAAGTTAATTAGAGGAGTTAGCTAAGGAAGTAGATATATAAATGATGAAGGATGAAGTCATTAACCAACATTCTTATGGTCCTTAATTTATTTTCTCTGTCAAGCTGGAGTATGCGAAACAAACTCTTTTCTTTTAGCCTAATAATTAGAGAAAAGATACCATTTCTTTGAAGGGAAGCAATAGACGTGATAATCCTAGACTGCTAGACATGAAGATTCAAGAGTACTTGGTCATTCACAAATTCTATTTTAAGAAAGTTGATCCGATGTCTAAAGAGGTTTATATACTTTTACCATACTCTTATGTTATGGGTTTTTAGATAAGATATTTTGAAAAATTAACAAATTAGAAGAGTTTAATATTAGAAAAAGGCGTAACAGACCATGTATCATTCTTTTTCAGATTATCAACGTACTCATATTTATGGTAGACAGCTTCATATATGTCGTTAACTTTTAGGTGACATGATAGTTATAAACTCATTACATTGTGATCATATAAGATTTGAACCCCTTTCATAATTTGATGAAGCTAAGATTCATAGCAGGGACTCGAATTCTGCATTCTACAGTCACACCTGCTGTGGAAGGCTACATCTGCCGTAGGAGAGATACATAGTGTTATGGTCCATTGCAAGGTATGAGATTTGAGTTTCCACATCGATGTTGCAATGTACTGATGTGGGGTCAATATAGCTTTGGGCTCTCTCATCTCAATAGCAACTTTTTAGATGGGGTTTTTCCTGCATTGTATCAATGGCCACCCACCACCTTATGTGCCCACCATACCATGGATGATAACGTCGGTATTGCAGCGTTTGCCCAGTGCCAAAAAGGTCTAGCGCACAACTGTCGAGGACGAGGGATGCGCGTGAGGGTTTGCTAATATTGTGGTGTTTATATAGCCTTTGGCTCTACCTCAATAGCTAGCTTTTGGAGCGAAGTTCTCCCTAAGGTTGTAATAAATATATAGGAATAGATTTTTAGATGGACATAGAGGCGGGTTCTGGTATAGCATTTGCATCACATGTTTATTTGAATTTGATACGGAATATAAATTTATGTTTAAAAATTTATTAAAATTGTAAGAAATAATAAATTTGAATCCATAATTTTAAAAATCGAGTAGATTCATTACTAAGAATCTTAAAAGTTAGACCCATAAAACTTAACTACTGGCTTCTGGATGGAAGGATGGATAGAGTATTTTTCCCACACCATTACAGCATTGCACTATTTATAACCCCTGCAACTCTTATCCAACGTAACATAATTTCACTGAAAAATCCCCCCGCACCCCTCTACAAGTGGGCTCTGTAAAAATTCAGAACCATTCATATTTCTATAAATTAAGAATACCCCTTCCTATATACGGAAAGGCCATTCATATATAGCTNAATACCCCTTCCTATATACGGAAAGGCCATTCCTATATATAGCTCTACACCTACAATCCTTAGATATGTATCTATATCATATTCCCTTCGTTCCAATTTACGTAAACCTGTTAGACTGGACACGAAATTTAAAAAAAGAATTTTTGGAATTTATGGTCCTAAACAAGTTAAAAAAGGGTTCAGAGTATTTGTGTGGCTATAAAAACTTCTCATTAAGGGGTAGAATTAGAAGTTTAAGCTAAATTATTTCCAAATTTAGAAAGAAGTCATTCTTTCTTGAACGGACCAAAAAAGAAATAGGTTCACATAAATTGGAACGGGGGAATAGTAATCTTTGTTCACATGAAAAATCCCATACATTATTAATGGCGTTCGTTTTCAGAAAACTGCTGGTTTTTAATAAAAAAAATTCAAAATTTTCAACCTAACACCTCAAGTTTCTCAATTTTTGCAAAAGCTGAAAGCACCTCTTGAGCAAAAAACTAAAAAAGAAATAAAAAATTCTAATGGCATTTGAAAAAAAAAATCTCAGTTTTTGCGAAAGGTACACTATTCCATCACATAAATTGATCGGCTGAAAAACTACACGCAGTCATTCTTGACATTCTGAATAAGTGGCGGAGCTAGGTGGGCGGAAGGGAGTTCAACCGAGTCCCTTCCCCAAAAATTACAGTATATAAGATTAATTTTATTTTCATGTATATGTATTATATGTTGAATTTTCTTAACTTTTTCACGTCTTTTTTTTTTTTTTTTGAATTGATTAGTGAAAACCACTATTCTGAATATGCCAACAATTAATTATTGTACTAGTCCGCAATATGTCTAACTGAAAAAAAAAATGTTCGAAAAGAAAATTTTCACCTGTTTTTGAAACATACGTCAACTATACGCTGCGAGGGATAAAGGACTAGTCAATCATTGTACTTTCAAACATATTGTTGTGTCTTTCAAGTGAATATCAAGTTCTCCACATGCAATTACCTCCCAATGGAAAATCTACTTCATTAAATATTTTTCATACCATTATAAGTAAACATATATTAGTTAAAAATGCTTCTGCCAATCCACCGTATTTATCAGTTCAAAATGCAGTCCGGTGCACAAAACATCTTATATTTATGCAGAGTTCGGAATAGGGCCGTATCCACGGGGACTAAGTATTTATCGGTACAACAACAACAACAAATCCAGTAATTTCTCACAAATGGGGTCTGGGGAGGATAAGATGCACGCAATCTTACTCTTATCCCTGAAAGGGCAGAGAAGCTGTTTCCTATTGACCCTCGGCTAGAGAACAACGAAAAGAAAAAGGTAATTGCAACAAGTAGGAATAACAGCAAGATGAAATAAGATTGAATCCAAAAATGCAATCAAACTCTAGGTAGTAATAGTCATCTATGGATAAAAAATTATACTTATATTACTAAAATTAAATACTTACATGCACATATTATCTCTTCTAATTTTACCTAGCTCATCATTCTCGTGTGTCTAGATGGGGAAAAAAGGTGAGAAAACCAGAAAAAGAAAAGCAACCTGAAAATCTTGAGATCAGCAGAATCTACACAAATTAAAGGACAGCCTCAAGAAAAGATAAATTGGACAAATAATGAAAAAGAAGTATTATATCAAAACCCAAATATATATAATTAAGTAATTTAATTACTCTCTCACAGGGTACAAATGTTGTTAAACACCACTGCGAGGAAAATTACAAACTTTTGAGATTTACAAACAGAAATCCTTAACATTGGATTTCCAGTTAATTAGTTAACAATAAACAAGATCCCAAAAGTCCCCCAAAAAAAAAATGTGACGTAGAAAATAAAAATGAAGGACAGAAGCAATAAAACAGATTCTTGAACTTCTGTATAAAATTTCCCTTCCAACACCCTAGCTGCTAGTTCCTCGTCTTCTCGATTTTCTGTCTTTAATTTTACCTTAACGTTGATGTTAGAGATTCAAAAACATGTTCATCACAAGGAATTGTAAGGCCCATGTCATGATCAAAGCCAAATTCTTCTTCAGCGCGATGTAGGAGGTACTGAAATTCAGGTCGAGTTAATATTGAAATTGGAACAATGTATCTTGTTCTATTTTCGCCAACGTACACAACAAAATGACCTTTGGGTACGTCAAGAGGAAGTCCTTCTTCATCTTGATATCCATGTTTTTTTCCCAAACTTGAACACCTTTTCAAGATTTGCTTGATTACTGCTGTTTGTGACAACTTGTTTGATGATTTTCTTATGGCCATTTTTTTACTAGAGGAAGTTTTAGCTACCTTGCTTTTTTGAAAAGAAGATCAACTTCTTTTGTGAGGAGAACTCAGAAGAGCAAAAAAAAGAATGTCTTTAGGACTTTTGGGAAAATGAGTGTGGTGGAAAGAAAGGGAGTTTGAGGGGGGATATAAATAGACAAGCTTTTAGTTATTATACCTCTTGGCCCTGGTTATTTAGCTATGTCTTGTAAGTAAACTTTTATTACGTAACCATGTTTAAGTGATGTGCATTATCATTTTAATTTGTGACTCCTATTTATTAGATTTGGAGTAACCATGAATCGTGGAATCAGCTACTGATAATGCATTAGGACAAGGCTACCTATATCATACCTCGTAAGGGTACTGCCTTCTTTTTTTTTTCTGTAAATACCGGGCCGGGCCGGATTTATAGGTGTATTTACGGGACACGTGAACCCATGATCTTTTCGTAAAATTAGATCTTTTAGGTACAAATTTTCTAATATTGGTATAATATTAACTATTGACACTCATGCTTCCAAAAGGTTGAATGGTGCAGTTGGTTGAAAGTTGAGTTATTTACCAAGAGGTGTAGAGATCAATTTTCACTAGATACATTTTTCCTCCTTTTATTTGTAGTGCACCCATGTACTAGAAATCTTAGATCCGCCTCTGATACCGAGGGAAGATAAATCTTTTTTGAGCGAAGGGTAAGGTTAAGACATGCGTATACACTACCCTCCCTAGACCTCACTTGTGGAATTCCACTGAGTTGTTGTTGTTACTGAGGGTAGATAAGTAAATTTTACAGATATGTATACCTCACCGATTCTT